TATGTAAAGGGGGACACATGGCTCAGGCTCATTCAGAGCCAGGAAGGGAAGGGGAAAGGGAAAGACAAAGACTAAGGGAAGGGAGGTTGGAAGAAGAGCACAGCGGGCAAGCAAGCAAGCAGAAAGGAAGAAGGGCTGTTGCCTGGGCAGTGGGCACAGGCTGCCTTGCCGCCACTTGTGTGTTGTTGCTGTTGGGGTTTGGGTTGGGTGGGCACCACGAGGGGAGTGTGTGAGTGAGTGAGTGGCGTGGGTAGGAGCAACACGGAGGAACCAAAGCACTCATTCCAACATTTTTAAATGCCAACATTGTAGCTGGTCTCTCTAGCCTCAGTGTTTTTTAGTTTGTGTTGCACATTGCCTCAAAAGAACTAGATCTCCCATCAATTCAAGCCATTCTTTAAGCACAAACTCTCCTTCCCAAAGTAGTGAAATCAGCTTCCAAGGCAAAAAGGACAGGGCTGTTTCTTTTTTCCCTGTTTGCTGTGAGTTGCCTAAGAAGACACTAGCAATCCCATACTTTACTGCTTATACTTCCCTAGTTGGAGAAATCTCCTCAAAAGGCCCATAAAGCTCTCAGGGCTGTTTCCTTTTTTTTCTTTGTTCGCTGTGAGTTGCCTAAGAAGACACTAAAAATCCCATACTTTCCTGTCTATACTTTCCTAACGGGTGAAATCTCTTCAAAAGGCCCATAAAGCTCTCAGGACTGTTTCTTTTCTTTTCTTTGTTTTCTGTAAGTTGCCTAAGAAGACACTAGAAATCCCATACTTTCCTGCCTATGCTGTTTTTCGCGTATTGCACAATCGTGTCTGCCATTAACGAAGCAATTCAGAAATTTAGGAAAGTTCTGAAATTTTGGGGGGAAAACTTCGGAATTCAATTCCGAATCGAACCACCAGCGCCCCCGGGTTTTGAGCCATTTTTTTAAAATCAACCAAGCCTAGTACCTAGGTATGTCTTTGAACTAGTGGAGGCTTGAAAAGGTTGTTATTTCCAGCAGGAGAATCCCACCATTTCACCCTGCAAGCTTTTTAATCTGATTCTCCGCACGGAATGTACATTGTTTGCTTAAGTCTGTGACAAACTCCATGCAGCTCAAAGCTGATGTCCAAACTGTGTTGGTCTCTGATCAGAACTAATGGTGATTAATGATTTAAGACAAAGCACAGTAAATCTGCCTCTTGGCCTGAACTTCACAGTCTTTAAACTGGTGTTATATTACTTGGCTAGATCTTTGGCTCTTTCTAGAAAATGTATGGTGTTTTATCCCCCCCTTGGCAAACTTCTATGTCAGTTAATTCTTCTTCACAGCAGATGAGATTCTTACACATGACTTTGACCTTGGATTTGATGATATTTGTGGTTCTGCAAAACTCCTGAAAAGACGTTGATGGAGAGATGGTGGCGGAGGTATTATTATTATTATTAAGGTGATAGGTGGAAAATGCCCCCCCCCCTTTTTTTTTTCTTTCAGTAAGAGAGAAAGTGAAATTGTTTCAACTCCTTAACAGGCCAGCAGTGTTGGAGCATGCAAGGAATGAGTGAGTGTGTGTCAACTGTAAAATAAGATGCATGAAGCTAATTGGTTGGGCTACACCTGGGGAGATTGCTAAGTCTGCGACTTTTGGTTACTGTTACATTTTTGTTCAGGCTTCAGCTATGCAAGTGCTGAGAGAGAGGCAGTTTAGAAGAGGGAGGAGGGAGCAAGCTTGTTTTCTGCTTCCCTGGAGACTAGAACGCGAAACAATGGCTTCAAACTACAAGAAAGGAGATTCAATCTGAACATGAGGAAGAACTTCCTGATTGTGAGAGCCGTTCAGCAGTGGAACTCTCTGCCCCGGAGTGTGGTGGAGGCTCCTTCTTTGGAAGCTTTTAAACAGAGGCTGGATGGCCATCTGTCAGGGGTGATTTGAATGCAATATTCCTGCTTCTTGGCAGGAGGTTGGGCTGGATGGCCCATGAGGTCTCTTCCAACTCTTCGATTCTATGATTCTATGAGGGAAGCAGAGAGAGATGCGGTTTAGAGTGTGTTCTCGCTTCATGAGCTGCTAAAGGAGTTTATCCACATGGACAAATGAAAGATCATTCATATTTCTCATAAAAGGACATTATGTGAATTGATGCAACTGATCACATTGTACATATGTTGTTCAGAACTACGAAGTGTAAACTACTTTTTCTTTGCTATTCATCTGGTAAAGCATCAAAAATGTCAGGGCATCCCCTGGGCAGCGTCTTTGCAGATGGCCAATTCTCTCACACCAGAAGCGACTTGCAGTTTCTCAAGTTGCTCCTGACACGGAAAAAAAAATATGTGGCATATTTTCTTTTTCTGGCAAGGCAGTGTGTGGGCTGATCAAATGTGAACTACATATTTGATCAGCAGGGCTTTTACTTAAAATGCTGGGTATCTCTGCAATATGATTAATATGTTGTTTACACTCATAAACATGAGAGAAGCATGCTTATTCCATCATCTGTGATGGGAAACCAGTTGCTTTGAACTCTGCCAAGATGATACCAAGAACATCAATTTACCTAAAATGTTTTAAACCTAGCTAAGAACTGGTGCCTGAACTTTGCATTTCTCCTTCGTCCCTACCTATGTAATTGCTCTTCTGTGCCAAGTCTGTTATCTGATTAACCCGAGGGCTGGAGCTTTCTTAGCCACATATTTTGTTGTGTTTGTCACATAAGAAAAGTCCTTGAAGCACAGGCTCACCCAATCAGCTGGTCAATCAATACCTCAAGCTATATTAACCGAACACCCATACCTTCAAACGCGGTTACCATCTGTTTGCTTTTCTGATAAGAACAATGAGCCACACCTATGAATACAGGGTGGGAATAATTTCCTTGGAGGAGTTGTGTGTCAAAATTCCAGTATGAATGATAGCAAAGACTGCATCACAAATATACACCACATTGCTTCTATGAATAACGTTGGCACACAGCAACATTTTGGGGGATCCATGTGTCCCATCAGAGTCTATTGACAGTTTTCTCTTCAGGTTTGTACCATTTGCAAAGCCAGTTATTCATGGAGAGAAGTGACTAATGGAGCGTTACAGGGTTCCGTTTGGAACCAGTGATATTCAACATATTTATTAATGATTTGGATGACAACGGAATACAGTCAACTTTGAAGGTGACACCAAATTGGAAAAGAGGACAGGATCAGAACCCCAAAAAACGACCTTAACACATTAGAGGCTGGATTAAAATTAACAAAATGAATTTCAACAAGGAGAAATGTAAGCGAATACACTTAGGCAGAAAAAATTAAATGCACAGATATAGGATGAGTGACACCCAGCTTGAAAGCAGTACATGTGAAAGAGATCTAGGAGACTCCACACACCACAAATGTGTCAATAGTGGAATGTAGTAGAGAAAAAAGACAATGTGATTCTAGGCTGCATGAATATGGCAGTCATCCTCAGAGGTTGTGAAGTCTGTTGGAAACTAGGCAAGTGATGTTTATATATCTGTGGAATAATGTCCAGGGTGGGAAAAGTACTCTTGTCTGAGGCAAGTGTGAATGTTGCAATTGCAACTGCAGTAAATAAAGAGCAACACTCAAAAAACAGGGGAATTCAAGACAATAATCAATCACGGCCAGCTAACACCTCCCAACAAAGGATACCCCAGGCAGCAATCAGCCAAGCTTTGAAGCTACAAGGCCATTAAATGCTAATCAACCTGGCCAGCTGCACATTTACAGTTGCCTCAAGCAGAGTTTCTCCCACCCTGGTCATTCCACAGATGTATAAACCCCACTTGCCTAGTTTCCAACAGACCTCACAACGTATTGTCGAAGGCTTTCGTGGCTGGAATCACTGGGTTGTTGTACGTTTTTTGGGCTGTATGGCCATATTCTAGAAGCATTTGCCTGCATCTATGGCAGGCATCCTCAGAGGTTATGAAGTCTCATAACCTGTGGGGATGCCTGCCATAGATGCAGGCAAAACGCCAGGAGATAATTCTTCTAGAACATGGCCATACAGCCAAAAAAAATCTACAACCTCTGAGGTGAAATGTCAGGAGAGAATGCTTCTGGAATATGACCATACAGCCCTGAAAACTCCCAGCTACCCAGTGATCCCTAATATCTCATTTCAGAATTTGATGTCTAGAAGGCATCTGATTTTGGAAACTAAACTGATCAGAATTTGGATGAGGGATCATCCAAGAATTTTCAAGTACTGTAGGTTATATTTCAGAGGAAGACAAACCACTTTGGCATATGCCTTGGCTAAGAAAGCTCTATGAAATATGGCGTTATCATAAATCAGCTGGTTATTTATTTCTCATGTCAGGGCAGCCAGTCAAATATATTACATTTCTAACAGAACAAAGCAAACAAACAGAGAAAATACAAAATGTGTGAGTTTGGTAGTTGATTAAATGTCCTTTGACCAGTATCTGGCCACTGGCCGCAATCAACTGGTGACTTGGAGGAAAATATATACGAACATCGTATTTAAGCTCAGTTCCCCAGTAACTGTATACATTATGTGACAAATCTCAGAATTGTTATTTTCATGGACTGAAGGATGCTACAAAGCTTAGTCCCAAAAAAGTAATCTGTCCAAAGTTTAGGACAGGCATTGACAAGGTGTATCCATGGTTGTCCTCATAACCCCTCAAAGACCCCATTAAAAATAGGCAGTCGTCACCAAACCACCCTAGATACTCTAAAACACATCCTTTCCCTATAAACCTTAATATATTTTGAAAATGAGTAGGAACCTAGACCTGAGAAGGCATTCTTCCCAAATGGACAAAGGTATCCCTGACGGCCCTCTGCTGCTGCCCTGTTGCTAGATGAAGTCTAGAAGCCACTCGAAGGCTGAATTGTTTGGAATCCTGTGTCTTTAATAAAAGGATGGTATCTTTAATTAAACGATCCCATACAGAGGTGGTGTCAGAGGTTATTTATTAATCCCGGAACTACGGAAGCATAAAACATCAATATTAACAGATTCTTATCAGACTGAAGAAAAAAGCTCTGAACTCCTAAGGAAAAAATGGGCAGCTCCCATGTAAGTAGTCCTCTCTCTCCTTTCTCTTTCATCATCTAAGATAGTGGTTCTCAACCTTCCTCATGCCGTGACCCCTTATTCCATTTCCTCATGTTGTGGTGACCCCCAACCATAACATGATTTTCGTTGCTACTTCATTACTGTAATTTTGTAAGTGTTACGAATCACAATGTAAATATCAGATATGCAGGATGTATTTTCATTCACTGGACCAAATTTGGCACAAATACCCGATAAAACTCAAATTTGAATACTGGTGGAGTTTGTGGGGCAGGGAAGATGGATTTTGTCATTTGGGAGTTGTAGTCCTGGGATTTATAGTTCATCTACAATCAAAGAGAATTCTGAACTCCACCAGCAATGGAATTGAACCAAACTTGGCACACAGAAAATACTGGGAGGATTTGGTGGGTACTGACTTTGAGTTTTGGAGTTGTAGTTCACCTACATCCAGAGAGCACCGTGGACTCAAACAATGATGGATCTGGACCAAACTTGGCACAAATACTCAATATGCCCAAATGTGAACACTGGTGGAGTTTGGAAAAACAGACCTTGACATTTGGGAGTTGTAGTTGCAGGGATTTATAGTTCACCTACAATCAAAGAGCATTCTGAACCCACCAACAATGGAATTGAACCAATCTTGGCACATACATTTCATAGAATCAAGAGTTGGAAGAGACCTCATGGGCCATCCAGTCCAACCCCCTGCCAAGAAGCAGGAATATTGCATTCAAATCACCCCTGACAGATGGCATCCAGCCTCTGTTTAAAAGCTTCCAAAGAAGGAGCCTCCACCAGACTCCGGGGCAGAGAGTTCCACTGCTGAACAGCTCTCACAGTCAGGAAGTTCTTCCTCATGTTCAGATGGAATCTCCTTTCTTGTAGTTTGAAGCCATTGTTTAGTCTCCAAGGAAGCAGAAAACAAGCTTGCTCCCTCCTCCCTGTGGCTTCCTCTCACATATTTATACATGGCTATCATATCCCCTCTCAGCCTTCTCTTCTTCAGGCTAAACATGCCCAGCTCCTTAAGCCACTCCTCATAGGGCTTGTTCTCCAGTTGGCACACAGAACTCCCATGACCAACAGAAAATACTGGGGGGGGTTGGTGGGTATTGACCTTGAGTTTTGGAGTTGTAGTTCACCTACATTCAGAGAGCACTGTGGACTCAAACAATGATGGAACTGGACCAAATTTGGCACGAATACTCAATATGCCCAAATGTGAATACTGGTGGAGTTTGGGAAAACAGACCTTAACATTTGAGAGTTGTACTTGCTGGAATTTATAGCTAACCTACAATCAAAGAGCATTCTGAATCCCACCAACGATAAAATTGGATCAAACTTCCCACACAGAACTCCCATGACAGAACTCCTTCTGACACCCCCCTCATGACCCCCCCCCCCCGGGGTCCCAACCCCCAGGTTGAGAAACTCTGCTGTAATGGATCACACTGAAACCAACCATTTTGTCAACTAATTATTCTCTCAAGGTCAGACCGCTCAGGTGAGTTTTGCTGACTAAAATCCCTTCTCCTGTTGCAATGAATGATTCATGACACCTGAGTCAAAGAACAAACTTCTTCAAGCTTTAGTTTTCCTAAGTTAATCTTTTGGTTATCTATCGAAACTTGTAAAGGAGACAGAAACTGCATCTACTCTGCTTCTAGTATCCTGAACTTCCTGGTTGACGTACTGATATCTTTCTAATCAGTATTGTACCCGTCGTAGGTTTACCTCTCCAGGTGGTATGTAACATTGTTGGAGTTGGTTGACACATGTACTATATATGTGCCAACATCTACTGAGAACCTTTGCCTCCATGGGCCAAGGATTCTGTTCTCAGTTGGCTGTTTTGTTTTTGTTTGTTTGTTTTTTTGTTATTGTTTGTTTTGTTGTGTTGTGTTTTTGGGGTTTTTTTTTTTTTTTTTTGAAAAATGAAAATCTCCACAACTTTTTGGAAAATGGATATTCAGAACCATTTGGGAAAACCAGGAATTTCTTAGAAAGGAATGACCTTGTTAGAAATCATAGCCTATTGTAAAGTATGATCTTCCTGAGATCATACTCGCTTGAGTTGCTTGAGTCAACCTTCTCCCCAGTGGTAAATATCCACTCGTATTCATGCAAGGCAATTAGGTTTCTCAGCTGTCAGACTGATATACCTAAATATCTCTTTGAACTGTTAGGGACAAAGCAATGCCAATGCACAAAAAACATATATATATAGCAGAGTTTTAGAAGTGTTATTTTCAGTTGCCCCCAAAACATTTACTCTCACTTAAAACATCTTGGTTCAAATCATGCTCTCAAGAGATCAAAATTTAAGTAGTCTTCATTAAAATAACATAGTTAGTTTATTCACGAACTTCATATATTCAGCATACAGGTACATTGCTTATCAATCCAGTTACAGATAGGATTTTAAGTAGTTTCTTTGTGCAGATAACGCAGGGCATCTTTCGTAGAATCTTAACAGTCCATAGTCTAAAGCATCTCTCTGTCCCGAGAGTAATAGCATCTCTATAGTCTATTTCTACAGACTTCTGAAAGCAATGGATAGCTTTTTGTACTTAAAGCTCCCCAAAAGTGGCACCCTCAGGCTCTCTGCTCAAACAACTGAATAATTTCTCTCTTTTATTCTTCTTCTAGTCAAAGTCTAAGCAACAGCAACCTGGTTTTAATGCTGAACAGGATGCCAAGAAACTGCACAAAGCTTGCAAAGGATTGGGTAAGAAGGCTTCTATTTGTCCAAGTGCTTCACAAGGACCGTATGCATATTTGTGTTTGGAAAAGTGTCTGCGCTTGGAATGGGGCATATGTATCTGCCTTGCCAGATCATACCAAGTGGGCATCTGGGTTGGTAAAATGTCTAAGAGGCGGGCAGTACTAACCACAGCCTGATCTCTGAATCTCCACTTTTCAAGGGTCCTTGCCAGACAGGCAATGAGGGTACAAATTCTTCAAATTTAGGAGGCTAAGGTTCTGGTAAGAGGAAAGTAAGGTGTGTGCAAATCTCCAGCTCAGCTTGGAAAGCATCAACTTGCTACAATTTTAAAGATATTTGATTAGTGCTGCTACTTGTGAAGACTCTTCAGGGAGATTTGTATATATATATAAATGCTCTGTGCATAATGAGTATCTTAAAAACAAAAGAACCAATGAACAAAATTACACCAAATTTGGCAACAAAACGTCTCACAACACAAGGATTTATGATTTTGTCATTTGGGAGTTGTAGTTGCTGGGATTTATAGTTCACCTACAATCAAAGAGTATTCTGAACTCCATCAACAATGGAAATGAACCAAACTTGGCACACAGGACTCCCATGACCAACAGAAAATACTGGAAGGGTTTGGTGGGCACTGACCTTGAGTTTGGGAGTTGTAGTTCACCTACATCAAGAGAGCACTGTGGACTCAAACAATGATGGATCTGGACCAAACTTGGCACAAATATTCCATATGCCCAAATATGCACACAAATGGAGTTTGGAGGAAATAGACCTTTACATTTGGGAGATTTAGTCACTGGGATTCACAGTTCACCTACAATCAAAGATCATTCTGAACCCCACGAACGACAGAATCGGAGCAAACTTCCCACACAGAACCCCCATGACCACCCAATCGTGCTCTGACCTACAAGAAGCACTGCCTGAACATCAAACAAAAAGTGGGCGCTAGAAACAACATCATACGAAAGCTGACTGGCACAACCTGGGGATCACAACCAGACACAGTGAAGACATCTGCCCTTGCGCTATGCTACTCTGCTGCTGAGTATGCATGCCCAGTGTTGAACACATCTCACCACACTAAAACAGTGGATGTGGCTCTTAATGAGACATGCCGCATTATCACGGGTGTCTGCGCCCTACACCACTGGAGAAATTACACTGCTTAGCCAGTATTGCACCACCTGACATCCGCCGGGAAGTAGCAGCCAATAGTGAAAGGACCAAGGCAGAGATATCTCCAGCTCATCCCCTGTTTGGGTATCAGCCAGGACGTCAACGACTTAAATCAAGACATAGTTTTCTTAGATCTACAGAGACACTCGCTGGAACACCCCAGCAAGCGAGAGTCCAAAAGTGGCAGGCCCAAACCCAGCACCTCAATTCATGGGTGATACCAGATGAGAGACTCCCCCCTGGGCACTCAGAAGACTGGGCGACTTGGAAGGCGCTGAACAGATTGCGCTCTGGCACCACGAGATGCAGAGCCAATCTTAAGAAATGGGGCTACAGGGTGGAATCCTCAGCATGCGAGTGCGGAGAAGAACAAACCACTGACCACCTGCTGCAATGCACCCTGAGCCCTGCCACATGCACGATGGAGGACCTTCTTGCGGCAACCCCAGAGGCACTCCAAGTGGCCAGATACTGGTCAAAGGACATTTAACCAAATACCAAATTTGCAAAATCTGTGTGGTTTTTTTTTCTTTCTTTTTTTCTTTTTCTTTTTAATCTCTGTGTTTGTTTTGCTCTGTTAGAATTGTAATACAATGGTTGCTGATGACACGATAAATAATAACCACCCAATCCAACTCTCTTCATCAGGGCAAGAAAACGTAATCAAAGCCCTCCTGACAAAGAGCCATCCAGCCATAGATATAGATAGATAGTAGGCCTGTGCGGTTTCGTTCGTTAATTTTGTAATTCGTTATTAATTCGTTATTTTTAGCATTTACGAAGCGATATCAAAACACATTTTCAAACCCGGAAGGGTTTAAAAATATCGAACCGGCAACCCCCATAGATTTAACGAGCTTCCGCTCGTTTCGTTAATGGGATGGAGGCTGCTGGTGCCTGGGAGCCAATCCGGCGCTCCCAAGCACCCAAGCAGTGCACCGTGGCTGTTTTTGATTGGCCGGCGAGCCCTTTAAAAGCGGCTCCGCGCGGCCGTACAGCTCATTGCTGCAGAGGGCGAGGGAGAGAGAAGAGGTCCGGGAGGGTTTGCATTGGGTTGGCTTGGCTTGGCTTGCAACTGGATTGGATTCATTCCTTGCTCATTCCTTGCTTGGATTCATTCCTTGCTGCTGTGCTTAGTGCTGCTTAATTATATTCCTTGCTTGGATTCATTACTTCCTTCGGTTTTTGTGAATTTGTTTGTTAATTTTCCATTTTTAAATATTTTTAATATTATTTTTAATATTATTTTAATTATTATTTTTTAATATTATTTTAATTATTATTAAATATTATTATTTAATATTATTTTAATGTTGCTGTGTGCTCTCATTTGCTGTCTCCTGCCTGTGTTTGGTCCACATCAGGGCCATTTTTTGGTTCAGTTTCCATTTTTGAATATTTTTTAATATTATTTTTTAATATTATTTTAATATTATTCTTAAAAAATACAAAAAATATTCTAAAAAAGAAAAGACTCTTCTGTTGCTGTGTGCTCTCATTTGCTGTCTCCTGCCTGTGTTAGCTCTACATCAGGGCCATTTTTTGGTTCAGTTTCCATTTTTGAATATTTTTGAATATTATTTTTAATATTATTTTAATATTATTCTTAAAAAATACAAAAAATATTCTAAAAAAGAAAAGACTCTTCTGTTGCTGTGTGCTCTCATTTGCCCTGTCTCCTGCCTGTGTTTGGTCCACATCAGGGCCAGTTTTTGGTTCAGTTTCCATTTCTGAATATTTTCTAAAAATACCTGCCTTTTATTCTTAAAAAATACAAAAAATATTCTAAAAAAATAAAAGAGTCTTCGGTGGCTGTGTGTGTGTTTGTCATTTGTGTAGTTCCAACCAGTGCGCTCCTTTTGCCAACACAAAGTGCTACATACACTGCTCGCTCATCATTTGTGTAGTTCCAACCAGTGCGCTCCTTTTGCCAACACAAAGTGCTACATACACTGCTCGCTCATCATTTGTGTAGTTCCAACCAGTGCGCTCCTTTTGCCAACCCAAAATATTTAATAACGAAGTTATTAATAACGAAGTTTTTAATAACGAAGTTTCGGAAGTCGCTTTTGCGCATGCGCAAAGCGCCCCCTGCTTTAACGAATCGATTCGTTATAACCTTAACGAATCGACCCCCGTGCCAATAACGAAGCTTCGGAAGTGTTTTTGCGCATGCGCGGGGGTCCGCCATCTTAACGAATCGATTCGTTAATATTTACGAAATTTCGTAAATACCGAAACTTTTTTGGGGGAAAATTTTGTAATTATTTTAAATATCGAAACAAAAAAACACCCCAATTACAAATCGATTTTAGAACCAAATTTTTTCTTGATCAACCAGGCCTAATAGATAGATATGATTCACACACAGAGATATATTATCATAGATTTGAAAGAGACTAGGGCTGGGCGGTTTCGTTTCGTTAATTCGTAATTCGTTAATAATTTGTTAATTTTTTCAATTACAAAACGATAACGAACCATTCTGGAGCAATTATTAAAAAAACGAATTTTCAAAAACGTTTTGTAAATGCTTCGTATTTCGATATTGTATTCGTTTCGTTATTGTTTTGAGGTCGTTTCGTTATTATTTCCGCATGTCTGGGCCAGTTTTTTGTTTAATTAGTGAAAAAAAATTATAATATCACACCAACAGTCAACAACAGAGGGAGAGGGAAGCTTCAGAAGGTTTTGGAGGTTTTTTAGCGTATTTCGCGGTCGCGTCCGCCATTAACGAATCGATTCGTTATTGTTTTGGAAATCGATTCGTTAATTTTTTACCATTTACGAAATTTCGTAAATATCGAACTTTTTAAAAGGAAAATTTTGTAATTATTTTAAATATCGAAACAAAAAAACCCCCCAAATACAAATCGATTTTAGAAACAAATTTTTCCATTGTTACCCAGGCCTAAAAGAGACCCTTAAAGAAGGACAATGATATGTTGCATATTCCAGAGTAGGCAAACCAGACACTCTCCGCATCAACACTTACAAAGAAACAGCAAGAAATACTGTTTACCCACAAGCATAAAGAAATTACATATATTAGAAACCAACACTTTCTCATTATTTTATTTTCCAGATCAACAGACTGGGCCACAGCAACACGTGGCAGGGGACAGCTAGTTCACTATGTATTTAGCTTTCACTTTCCATAGCAGTCATTGTGGTGCCAGAGTTCACCCTCTGCCATGCCAAAGAAAAAGTGTGTATATGCTTTAAAGAAGTGGTTCCCAAACAGTAGCCAGTGGTCTGCAAGAACGAAAATATGGTCCACGGTCTCACCTTTACTACACGTTGCAAGAAGAGCGACTGGTCTCGCGAAACCCTCTTATAGTGCCGAGACTTTTTTTAAAATAATTTTTATTATTTTATCATAGTTAATACATTTGTTATACGTTTGTTTTACAGCAGATACATATTATTCAATACACCTAACATACTTTAGCATCTAGTATTATTATTCTGCTTAAACATATTCTCTATTCCTCACCACTGTGCTCCCCTCCCCCTCCCCCTCTCAAGCCTCAACTTTTACGTATCATCTGTCCAAAATTTCAATTCTTCTTGTGGAGGTAACTTTCCTTCTTTGTTTTTTAATCCTTTTACAATAAATTTTCTCCATACATCATCAAAATCACTTTGTTTCCATATGCCTCTTTTAACTTTTAATATACATGTCAGCTTATCATTTATTGCCAATTTCCATACTTCCTTATACCACTCCTCTATTTGTATGTTTATTTCTTTTTTCCAGCTCCTTGCTATGAGCAATCTTGCTATTGTTAATAAGTTTGTTATCGCTTCTTTATCCTCTTTTTCAATTGTTTATTGTTATATAATGATAATAAAGCTATACTAGGACTTCTTTCTATTTCAATATTCATTATATCTTCTATTTCTCTAAATACTTTCCCCCGAAAATTATTTACATATTTACATTGCCACCACATATGTATATATGTTCCTGGTTCTTGACATCCTCTCCAACAATTTTTGAATATTTTTTATTTATGTGTGCTAATCTTACTGGTGTTAGATACCATTTCCATATTAACTTATAATAATTTTCTTTAACCCGTATTGATAATTTTTTTAGATGTATTTGTCTCCATAATTGTTGCCACTCTATTTCATTTATTTTTATCCCTAAATCTTCTTCCCAGACCTCCTTGAGGGTGTTGTTTTTTGTTTTCCCTTCCTTTATTTCAATTATTATCTTATATATTTTACTAGTTGTTCCTTTCAAATTTTCATGCTCTTCTACAACTCTTCCATTTTGTATTATTTGTTCAAATTGGTTGAGCTTACTTCCGTTTTTGTTATTTTTTCCCCCAATTTTTTAACCATTGTTCTAATTGTATACAATGGAACCATGTCAATTTTATTTCTCTAAATTCTTACATAATCGTTTCCTTCTTCATTCCGACCTTTATCCAATCCCCTATTTTGTCTAAAAAAATTTCCTTAACTTTTTATCCATTACTTTTTTAAAAAAAGAATTGGAAATTTCTTTTCCATTACAATTGGGGTTATAACTGAACCATCCGTTATTAACATTCTTCTATATTTGTTCCATACTTCTAATATATTGCTCAACATTGGGTTTCTAATTTCCCTAATTTCTTTTCTCATAAACTGTTAAAAAAATATATTCCAAATTTCTTCCTCCACTTCTTCTGCATCCTTACTTAGCCAATCTAATCCCTCTTTTTTATCATTCCTTCTATAACCAATCTTAATCTACTCGCTTCATAATATTTTTTAATATTAGGGAGTGCTAATCCTCCCTCTTTTTGCGATCTGTGCCATAACTGTTTATTTAATCTATTTCTTTTACTACCATTACAATATTTATTTATCATTTGTTGCCATCTATTTAGCTCTTCTTCTGTAATTTGAAGTGGCAGCATCCTCAATATAAAATTTATCTTTGGAAGTATTTTGATTTTTACTAATGCTATCCTTCCAAACCAAGATAAATGTTTATTTTCATAATCTATTAACGTTTTTTGAACAACTTTTTTCAATGTTACTACATTTACCTCTTCTATTTCTTTTAAATCCTTTGTTATTATTACTCCCAGGTATTTTAATTTATTCTTAATTCTAATTCCCATTTTGCTCTGTCCTATAAAGTCTTTTTCTTCTTTCTTTGTATAATTAAATAGCATCATTTCTGACTTGTTCCAATTAACTTGTAGACCTGTTGTTTTCCCAAATATCTCTAAATGTGCAGAGACTTATTAAATATGGTTTTCTATGGGCGAGCAGATGGCAACTACTGGATGGCATATGTTCTGTATCAGAAACTAAAGCTGATGTCATCTATCCAATGCAATTTTCTGAATCAGCACCCAAAATAACCAAACCGAATCTAAAGCTGACCAAAAACTGATTCGTAACCCTTTTGATACTAATGTTAGAGAGTGGTCCCAGGTCAAAGTGGTCCGTGGTCAAGTGGTCACTGGTCAAAAAAAGGTTGGGAACCACTACTTTAAAGTGACTGTTTATGGCAACCATATAATTTTTTGCTTGGGCAAAAAATATTCAGAAATGGTTTTGCCAGTTCCTTCCTCTGAAATATTACAATACAGTATCTGGTAATAGTTGAGGGCTCTCCAAACCCGATGCTTTCAGGGGGATTCTTTTTGGTCCAAATAACAACCAGATGACCAAATTCATTTCTCCATGACATCCATTAAAAGGTAGCAATAAACCTTCTGATTCCTAAGCAAGATAACTAGTCACGACTTCACTCTTCCTGTTTTACAGGAATGACTCCTCATCATATTTTTGATTTGCTTTCTTTCTCTTGCAGGGACAGATGAACAGGTGATAATTGAGATCCTGTCCTACCGGTCATCAGACCAGAGGCAACAAATAAAACAGAAGTACAAAGCCCTTTATCACAAGGTAAATAGATAAGGTTGAGTATCCCTTATTTGGAATTCCAAAATATTCCAGAATTGTCTCTGTGGATGGATGAAAAAGTGACACCTTTGCTTTCCGATAGTTTAACTGTACATATACTTTGCTCCATGAATACAATTGTTTAAAAGATTGTGTATGAAATTACCTTCAGCCTGTGTATGTGTGAAGTATATATGAAACATAAATGAATTTTGTGATTAGACTTCAGTCCTATTTCCAAGATATCTCATTTTGTTTAAAACTGCTATGGCTCAGTGCTATGGAGTTCTAGGATTTGTAGTTTGGTGAGATGCCAGTGCTCTTTGGAAGAGATGGCCAAAGATGAAAACCACAGCTCTTGTGATTCCACAGCATTGAGACATGACAGTTAAATTGGTGTCAAACTACATTCATTGTAAAGTGGAGATGCACCCTTGGTCCTAACCTGCTGCACCAGTCCTGCTATTCGTCCTCCTTTCCCACTCGACCAATGGAAGAAATCTTCAGCGGTGTCCTTCAGTGATAGTTTTGGAGGTCTTTTGAAAAAATGTTTATTTCTTAGGAGCTGGAAGAAGTGTTAAAGGGAGATCTGAGTGGGAATTTTGAAAAGGCAGCCTTGGCCCTCCTGGACCAGCCCTGGGAATATGATGCCAAGCAGCTCCGGAAGGCAATGAAAGGAGTAGGAACTGATGAAGCCTTGCTGATTGAGATCCTTTGCACACGGACCAACCAGGTAAGAACTTACCTGTGTTCTTGCCCTTTAAGAAAAAACCAGGGCAACACAAGGCTTAGAGCCCTAGATCAGGACTTAGGAGATTTCGTTTCAAGTCCCCACTGAGTCATGAAACACACTGAATAACCCTGTACTAGTCACACACTTTTCACTCAACCTATGCCTATCTCAGGTCCCAAGTGCTTAATTTTCTTCCCTCACCTCCCAAACAGCAATTTCCTCCAAAGAAAGTGCATAAAATGACCATGACTTATCCAGTTTTGACTACCTAAACCAGTAGTTCTCAACCTTCCTAATGCTGTGACCCCTAAATACAGTTCCTCACATTGTGGTGACCCCCAACCATAACATTATTTTTATTGCTGCTTCACAACTGAATTTTTTCTACTGTTGTGAATTGTAATGTAAATATCTGATATGCAGGATGTATTTTCATTCACTGGACCAAACTTAGCACAAATACTCAATATGCCCAAATGTAAACACTGGTGGAGTTTGGGGAAAATATACCTTGACATTTGGAAGTTATAGTTGCTGGAATTTATAGTTCGTCTACAATCAAAGAGCATTCCGAACTCCACCAGTGATGGAACTGAACCAAACTTGGCACACAGAACTCCCAAGAGAAAATACTGGAAGGGTTTGGTGGGCACTGACCTTGAGTTTTGGAGTTGTAAATCACCTACATCCAGAGCGTACAGTGGACTCAAACAATGAGGATTCACCTTGTTTCGAAAATGGATGAGAAGGACAAACGAAGAGATCCTAAGACCATAAAAATATGTGTTTTCTGGTAATCTTTGGTGACCCTTCTGACACCTCCTCGCAACACCCCCCCCCCAGGGGTCCCGACCCCCAGGTTGAGAAATGCTAACCTAAGCCAAATCTCATTTTGCCGTTAAAGTATGAGTGATCTGTTTTTTGAAACGTAAGGGCATTATTGAACTTTTTGCTTCTGTTTCTTTTCTTTGCCACAGCAAATAGTAGCCATAAAGGAGGCTTACCATAAGAGTAAGTATCATCTTGTTTCAAAAAACCGCTCCTTAAATGAAAAAGTCTCAGCACCAGGCATTTACAAGTCAAGCTCTGTCTTTCTTTAGTTTTTGATAGGGATTTGGAATCTGATGTCAAAAGTGAAACCAGCGGGTCACTGAAAAAAATACTTCTTTCTGTGCTCAAGGTAAGATTTTGGACTTTTTTTTTCTTACGTTGGAATTAGCTAGAGCAGAACTTCGTTCTTTCATAAGCTCAAGACTTCACAACATTGTCTTATCATAGACTTCGTATTTCAATCTGACACTGGAAGACCGTGTTTTCCTAGCCCAGTATCTTTCTAGTACTGATGCTGCTTTAAAAAATTCAATTAAGTAAAGGGCAAAGAAGAAAGGCATAGTGGGCTATCATAAGGCTAGAAACACCATGCAGGAAGGTTGTAGGGTTTTCGGTCTATATGGCCATGTTCTAGAAGCATTCACTCCTGACAACCTCGCAATCTCTGAGGATGCTTGCCATAGATGCAGGCTAAACATCAGGAGAGAATACTTCTAGAATATGGCCATATAGCCTGAAAAACCTACAACAACCCAGTGATTCCAGCCATGAAAGCCTTCGACAATACTATGCAGGGAACTTGGAAATTTGCACGCAATGTAGGTCATTCAATAATGGAGTGGGGGATCACTTTTTTCCAAACAATATTGGACAATATGCTCTAGAGGGCAGCAAAAAAGCATACTGTGCTTCTTTGCCCATAAAAAAGGGACAGTGCCCAACTAAGGAATTAAGCCTGATACCATCAGTTTGTTGTCATTCAGTTATCCTGAAAAACCTAGACTGGGATAAGCAAATTTCTGCCCCTCTAGAAAGGCTTAGGCAGTAACTTCCACCAACTCTATCCCATGCCCTTCAGCATTTCAAAATTATTAAGAACAGCAGCCCTGGCCTTGTATTACTCAACTGCTGAGCGTGCTTGCCCTGTTTGGCACAAGTCTGTCCATGCAAAGCAGCTGGATATAGCACTGAACGAAACATGCAGAATAATCACAGGATGTCTCAAACCTACATCTGTCGATAGACACTATAATCTAGCTGGCATTGTCCGTCCCCCACTCTCCCGATGTGCAACAGGAAGTTGTTGCTCACTGCAAGAGAAATAAGGTTGAACACTGTGAAAGCCAACCACTGCATGGTTATCAGCCCCCTCCCAGCAGACTCAGATTAAGGAAAAGCTTTAAGAGAACCACCACTCCTCTTCAGAGCCGTCGCAAACTCTGTTCCTGCAGGAGCAAACCTTGCTAGCATGTCCCTGACGTCATGAGACTCCGCCTCTCGCCCCACCCCTTTCTCCGCCTCTTTCTCCTTGCGAGAGTGGTTTTTCCTTTGCTAGGGCAGCATTGCCAGCATACTCTCTCAGTTGGCAGAATTCAACTGAGAGAAAATGCGGGCAATGCTGCCCTAGCAAAGGAAAAACCACGCTGGCAAAGAGAAAGGGGCGGAGAAAGGGGCAGGGCGAGAGGCACAGGCTCATGAAGTCAGGGACGTCCTAGCAAGGTTTGCTCCCGCAGGAACAGAGTTTGCGACGGCTCTAATGTTCCCCAGCAACAGCAAGAATATCCCTCTGGGCAGTTAAACCAGGAAATCTCAAATGGATGACCCCCCCCCCCAGGGTCTTCCTCCAGGAGCAAACTAAGAATGGGCGCAGGAGCTGGGGGGGGGGGGGGTTCGTGGGGGGCTTCAGCCCCCCCCCGAAATTCTCATGATGGTTCGCGAAAAGGCCTTACTGGTGCATTATTTAAACTGTATATGTTTATTCATATCATGATCTGATCACCATACTCAATATATCCCATATGCATGGGGGTATTGGGGTAACGATACAAAAGGTTTGCTAGGGTAGACCCTCTTTCACTCAGACTCAGCCCCCCCCCCCGAAACAAACTCAGCCCCCCCACCCCCCCCGAATCGAAATCCTGGCTACGGGCCTGAGAATGGGCAACTTGGAAGTCTCTAAACAGATTCGTGAGCGGAGTGGGCAGATCAAAAAGAAAACCAGAGAGCTGTAGTGCCGCACCAAACTCCGAATGCCAGAATGCAATTATGCCTGTTAAAGTGAAATTGTGGTGCTAACAGTGTAGTAATAGCAAGAAGAAGAAGAGGAGGAGGAGGAGGAGGAGGAGGAGGAGGAGGAGGAGGAGGAGGAGGAGGAGGAGTATAAAAGCTGTATTTATATTCCGCTCTATCTCCCCGGAGGGACTCAGGGCAGATTCCAAACATAAAAGGCAAACTTTCAATGCCTAAATACAACAACAATACATCCATACTAGCATCATTTAGCAACCCAACATATAAACATGAATTATGACCAAACAACTAAAATTAAATAAATAACACAGCCTGTTATAACAGTCATAAGACAAAACATCGAACAGAAACATCAATTTCCCAGTATGGAAGAGCCTATAGAAAATACCACTTGCTAACTGTGATGTCCTTTGTTTTCATGCTACCCTCCATTGCAATGCACCCTGGGGGAATCTGGAAACCATAGCATCCCCAAAAGCAATGCTCCCTGCCTGCTGCAGAAGAGTTGGGTTTGTGGCTGGTTATTGTGGTCATATGCCACCATTTCCCACATTTATATTGCATGCTTTGCTAATGACACCACTGTTAGATTTATTTACGCATCAGTATGGTGGCTCACATTCACTATTCCAAAAAAATGCAGTGAACTTCAAATACTCATTTCATTCAAGCATTAGAACTGCTGCTGGAGATTATGGAAAACAGGTCTGAGTAGCGTGGAGCCCCTCCGTTTCTTATTCTAGAAATCAAACACTGAGGAATGTTAAAACCGGCTTATGTGTAGCCTAACCAAAAACGTTTCTGTGGTAGCAAGAGAACAATCCGTTCCCTTGTTTCTTCCCCCCATTTACATGATATCACCTTCTCCAGGCTAACAGGGATCAAGGCGTAGAGATCAATGAAACCCTGGCCCAGAATGATGCCAAGGACCTCTATGAGGTAAGTGCAACTCCAGAGCAGTATTAGACATGAATGAGAGTATTGAAGCAAATGCATAAAGCAAGCAGGCCTATTCCCCAAGTCAGTTTCAACAGCATCCAAAAATTCCGAGCCATCCCCCTGCTATTGTTTGTAGCCCAGAACGTGCTTCTAATTGTACTATAGCTGGCTAAAGAAGGGGTTCCTCCTTCCATTTTACATTCCATATTTCACATCTGGATACACCAAGTGCCCATCAGTTCCCCTGAAGCAACTTAATCAAATTCTCTTTAACCGTTTATTCAATTAGCTGCTTTGAGTCTCCTTGCAGGGAGAAAAGCAGGGTAGAAATAAATAATATTATTAATAATAATAATAATAATAATAATAATAAGCCAGAATTGAAAAGTCGACAACAGATCCCAAGTGTAGACTCTGCAAAGAAGCAGATGAAACAGCAGATCACATCCTCAGCTGCTGCAAGAAGATCGCACAGACAGACTACAAGCAGAGGCATAACACCGTTGCTCATTGGAACTTGTGCCAGAAATACCATCTGCCTGTGACAAAGAAGTGGTGGGATCAATGAAAAAGTTACCGAAAATGAACACGTAAAACTACTCTGGGACTTCCGAATTCAGATTGACAGTTTTTTGAACACAATACTCCTGACCTCACAATAGTGTTAAAAAACAGAGTGTGGATCATCGATGTTGCACTCCCAGGCGACAGCAGGATTGAAGAGAAACAACTGGAAAAGCTGACACAATATGAGGATTTAAAGATTGAACTGCAAAGACTCTGGCACAAGCCAGTCAAGGGGGTCCCAGTGGTGATCGGTACACTGGGTGCAGTGCCTAAAGACCTTGGCCTGAACTTAAACACAATCAGCGCTGACAAGATTACAATCTGCCAGCTGCAAAAGGCCACCATATAGGGATCTGCATGCATTATTCACCGCTGCATCACACAGTCCTAGACACTTGGGAAGACACACAGTCCTAGACACTGTTGTATTGGACCTGTGATCCAATACAACAGCCAGCAGAGTGATCTTGTTTGCTGTGGACTCATCTTGTTGTATTTCAAATAATAATAATAATTAGGCTATCTCTGTTCCAAATCTGAAAACTACAGTTAGTTCAAAACATGGCAGCTAGATTGTTTTTGGTACATCTAGGAGCGAGCATATTATACCAATTTTAAAATTGCTTCCCTAGCTGCCAATTAGTTTCCAGAAGAATGTTGTTCACTTCAAAGACTTACTTGGTTTCTTTCCAGGTTACCGATGGGATCCCCTTCAGACGCACTATAAAATTAGACAAATGGGGAAAATATGGACTTAAAGGAAATCTTATATTGTGACCTTACAGGAAACTATCTAAAAATGTCTAGGTGTTCTGGGAGGACACTATGGTCAATGTCTGCTGGAATCTGCATTGGAGGACCTAGAGATTCCTAGAGAGATGTTATCTCTAGAAATCTCTCAGCCAGTGGTTCCCAACCTTTGGTCCTCCAGGTGTTTTGGACTTCAGTTCTTAACAGCTGGCAAACAGGCTGGGATTTCTGGAAGTCCAAAACACCTGGAGGATCTCTAGGCCATCCAGCATGATTGGGGGAAGTTGATCCTAAAGTCATGCTAGAAGAACAAGAAATAAAAATGTAATGTTCATTTGTGGGATTAATATAACTCAAAAACCACTGGCCAAATTGACACCAAATTTGGACACAATACATGTATCAGGCCAACAAGTGACCATCACTCACAAAACGCTGAAAAACACAACAGAAGAGACTTTAAAAGCCAAAAAACAAAAAAATACATTACAACGCATGCACAAAACCACACACACATATATATGCAAACACACATATACACATATATACACAGACTAGGCCACAGCAATGCATGCCAGGGTATGGCTAGTTTTTAATAAAATCCATGAATAATCCAATCGCAAAAGCCAAAACAGCAATGTGGAGAGACAATTGTAAATACTACAAGCCCTACTCAGTGCCCATTAAGGTAGCCTATTGCCATCAAGGGTGGTTAAGTGATTGATGTCCTCCCATTCTCTCTATATGTTGAAGAAAAATTCAACTGCCAGTGCTATTGGTGCAGGAAGGGATCTTTTCCTCATATGGCAAAATGCCTTGAGCCCATCATGTCCCAATGAACCCCCAATCCACCGCGACAAATATTTAAGCCACATTTGCCTTCAGGTGGGTCAGGGATGTGAGTTGTCATTTTTACAAGGTCTTTAGCCTCTACTGTCAAAGAGTGCTGGTGCCACACCAAATTACAAAGTCCAGCATTCCATAGCATTGAGCCATGGCCATTAAAATGGTGTCGAGCTGTATTAATACTGCAGTATAGATGCAGTATTAATACTGCATATTAAAATTAAAAAGTGCACTCTTCAGATGCTGTTAGCTTCTAGATCAGTGGTTCTCAACCTGGGGTCCCCAGATGTTTTTGGCCTTAAACTCCCAGAAATCTTAACAGCTGGTAAACTGGCTGGGATTTCTGGGAGTTATAGGCCAAAAACATCTGGGGACCCCAGGTTGAGAACCACTGATCTAGATCATGGCAACCTTAGCCTGGATAGCCAATGGTGAGACTTACTGGTCAACAATATCCAGAGTGCAAAGTTCCTATCCCTAACATAGCATCAGTAGGAGATCTTATAATGACAATGTCTTCAATCTCTGAGGCAGGAGAAGGCCGCTGGGGAACAGATGAACTGGCTTTCAATGATGTCTTGGCAACAAGAAACTACAGACAGCTAAGGGCAACCTTTGAAGCCTACAAGAACGTGAGTATACTTTCTTCATTGTGGTAAATGCTCCTTCATAATGCATTGATCCAGACATCCCACAGTCAACAACTGGTGCCCTTTCTTCCATGCTTAGACTGAATTTTGGAACCAAGAATTCTAGGGTTCAAGAGTTTACTAGGTTTGAGAGATCATAATGTGAGTGGGAGAATTTATTTGAGTCACTGATAATCATTTTTGTTCAGGGGTTCCTTGACACTTAAGAAGGTAAAGACAACCTGGCATAAGGCACTGAAACATCAAAACAAAGATCCAACATGGAGAAGGCGTGCATTGTACATTGACTTGCCCAAGGCAAATGTTAGCACAGACATGTTAAAATTGTTGAGAAGCCTATATATAACCAGGGGCCTATTCACACTACACAATTATTCCACTTCATTTTAAATGCTATGGCATCCTGTGGAATCCTAGAAGATGGAGTTTGGCTGTGGCAATTTCAGTTCTCAGCCAAGGAACTCTGGAGCCTCACCAAATGACAACTCTTAGATTCTATAGATTGGAACCATGCTAGTTCATGGAATCATACTGCTTTAATTGAGTAGTGTGAATGGGCTCCAGAACAAGTCATACTCCAACACAGATGGTGGGCGCTGCATTGGAAAAGGCTGCCCAAACCTCCACCCCTTGATCTAGACCCAAGTACAAATCCATATCTTATTTGGGTACCAAATCAGATCCTGGCTACTCAACGCTTATTCAGGACATACTGTAGGTGTCCCATGCAGTTCTGTTTCTGAAGCTCAACTGTGTGGTAGACGGGTGTAAAAACATATATACTCTGATAAATCTCTTATGTATTAGCCAGATGCTGCCAAAATCTAAGGGAAAAACCATGTCCATTTACATGGCATTTTGGTATTACATAATATATAAAGAGCTATGATATTTATTTTAATATATGTTACAGCTGACTGGGAAAGACATTGATGATGCTATAAAGAGTGAAACTTCTGGAGACCTCAAGAAGGCGTATCTAACAATTGGTAAGACCATTAAAAAAATCTTCACCATGGTCAATCGATAATGACTAGAAGTGCCAATGCTGTATTAAAGAATGTATATGTGGACAACATGGCCTAAATATCCAAAAGTTGCCAGATCATGTCTGATTTTAGAAACTAAGCAGGGTCAGCTCTGGTTAATTCTTGAATGGATGACCACCCATGAATACTAGGCCATGTAGGCTATATTTCAGAGGAAGAACTTGATATGAGTATTTCTTGTCTTAAGAAAATCCTGCAAAAAATCATTATTTGGGTGAGCTTAATTTTTTGAGTCCCTACCAGCAGATTATGGGAATTATAGGCCATATAGGACTCTCAACCTCTGGTTTCTATCCTTTCCTTGACACAACTAGAAATCATGTAATGTCTTCTTGTTTGGGTCTGTTTTTAAAGTAAGCTGTGCTCGGGATTGCCAAGGCTATTTTGCTGGTTGTCTCTACAATTCCATGAAGGGTCTTGGGACTGACGAAGAGACATTAATCCGCATCCTGGTGACACGGTCTGAGGTAAGCCATTTGGAGACCAGAACCTTAAAACTTAATGGTGTCTCACAGAATAATGTAAATTTGCTTTCCATATTTATGTTTTTAACTTTCCAGGATCTGACTGTTCACAAACTTGATTAATGTGCTCTGTCTAGGAATCTCTTGAATCTCCAAAACATCTTTATGGTTAACTTCCACCAAAAGCTGGAGGATCTAGATCAGTGGTTCTCAACCTGTGGGTCCCCAAGTGTTTTGGCCTCCATCTCCCAGAAATCCCAGCCAGTTTACCAGCCAAAATATCTGTGGACCCACAGGCTGAGAACCACTGATCTAGAGATCCCTAGACAGAACGCTAATCTAGACATTTGTAGGTACTCCTTCCATGGTCAATATGCAGTGGAATTTGACTATAGAGTCAATGTATTATCAAAGAGTCACTCTGGAGAACTTAGAAACTTCTCAAAAAGTGTTCTCTCCAGTAAAAAATATATAATTAATTTGCATTTTGTCCACTTTCATGGGGATTCTGCATTCCTAATCTCAATAAATGTGGAGTTCTTGCTGTAATTTTGACATTTATATCACTCTTTTGTAGTGGAGGGACAGAGTGGGGATCACAATTAATAAAGCATGCATGTCGGACATCCATTCTCAACGTGGTAGTCTCCTGATGTTTTGCACTACTATTTCTAGCAGACCCAGTGAACATGAGAAATGGTGACTGATCATGGCAGCTGAAACCTAAAACAATTAGAAGATGCCAGGTTGGGGAAGTCTGTCCTAAGGCTATGTGGATTAATCCCTCACTTGTTCAGTGAATGCATGAGTGGAGAATGGAAACTATTTCCTGATATTAATGTATATATTGGCCTTCTCCCTGACCTAGCTTGTCTTTCACACTAAGGCCATGGATAAAGAATTGAGAGCTAGGTCCATCAAGAGCTCCCAGGTCCTACTTATTATCCATGTGCACTCTCTTCTCTCCTTTCCCCGGTGAGAAGCATAGCTAGGAGCAAATATAATTAAAATTGATTTTAATTATGCTCTGGAAAAAAAAGGAACATCTGTGTGCCGAATACCCAAATGCATTCCAAAGTTTAACAGAGAGTTGAAGACTTACTGATGCCTAGATAATGTCACCACAAATGATCTGAAGGCACCAGATTCCATGTGATCTTGGAAACGAAGCGAGATGCATTCTGGTTATACTTGGATGGAGGACCACCAAGAAATATCAAGTACTGCAAACTATACGTCAGAGTGAGAAAATGAGTTTCCACCTCTGCATATTGCTTGCCTTTAAAAACCCTATGGAAAGCATGGGTCCTCCATAAGTCAATAGGTGACTTGAAGACCCACATACATACAAGATGGTATTACAGCTCCTGGAAGAACCTTGTATTGCTCTCAAAGTTTTTTTTAAAAAAAACAACTACGATTGACAACCATGGGGTTGAAATGACTTTTCTTCTACTTTTTTTTTCCTACCATGGCCCAAATTGTTATTTCTAGAGCTCCTAACATGTTTCTATGTCTTTGTTTTAAGATTGACCTTCAATCAATTAAGGAAAAGTTTCAGCAAATGTATAATAAGTCTTTGGCAGAGACCATTGAATCTGACACATCTGGAGATTTTAAAAAATTGCTGGTCACACTGCTGCACTAAGTTCTTGTCAAAAGGAGAGAATCCTCAATGAATGAGTTCTCGTTTCCAGAAACAGGAAATTCAGTAGGATTTACCTAAACGTTGACTTATTGACTTATTCAGTGGAACAGCTTGAGTTTGAACTCACAATGGAATTCAAGTTTCACGTTTCCCAAAAGTAATATTTTTCAACTAGGCTTGTTTCATATTTCAAATAGTGTTACTATTTGGATCATTCTGTCAAGAAATGCTGGGGCTCTGTAAGTGTCAGATTTATCACAAGGTTTCACCTTACATTTCATCGTGTCATTATCTTTTTTAAAAACTGTCACATTTCTTTGTGCGTGACAAGAGAGTACTCAAGTCCTAGATGTTGCTAATTAAATTCAGCATCAGCAACTTGCTATGTTAAAAAAAGAAGAGTGCTTGTATTTTTTTATTATTTAATAATAATAAAATTTCATAAAATTCTTATTATTTGGTGACTTCTTTGTCTGAACAGCAAATAAACCCAACATATAAACACAGCTGGATTTTATTTATTTATTTGAAATCTTTCTATTATTATTATTATTATTATTATTATTATTATTATTATTATTATTTACTGTAATTTGTATACCGCCTTTCTCAGCCAGTTGGCCTTTCTACCAAACTGAACCTTCAAACTAGATGGCTGTGTAATGCATTACTGAAAGTGAAGTGCATTTGTATAAAATGTATCTATGCATATATAATATGGCTATAATTTTAGTAGAGATACAATACCTCTTTTGAATTGCAATCCTGGAGGAAAATTCTGAGAGTGCCTTAGACAGCAAGAAGATCAAACTAGTCCATAACCCAGGAAAAAAATGTCCAACTGTTCACTGGAGGGAAGGATATTAGCAGCAAAGATGAAGTACTTTGGCCACATAATGAGAAGATAGGGAAGCATAGCTGGTAGATTTCTGGGAGTTATAGACCGCATCTCTGTATACGAACCCACACGATCTCTTCGATCATCTGGAGAGGCCCTGCTCTCGATCCCACCAGCTTCGCAGGCACGATTGGTGGGAACGAGAGAGAGGGCCTTTTCAGTGGTGGCCCCTCAACTCTGGAACTCACTCCCTAAGGACATCAGGCAGGCCCCTATCCTGGCAGTCTTCAGGAGTTGCTTGAAGACGTGGTTGTTCCAGTGTGCCTTCCCAGAATAATGATCCCATAGCACTTTGTCCCTCCAAAGCACTTTATATTTTTAGGTCTGCTCGTATGTCTTCCACAAACGCCACTATCACCTTTTTGTCCATGCCTCAGCACTATTTCCAATTTTAATTTTTACATTTGGCCTTCCCACAGTTTTAATTGTAGGTTGTCTTATTGATAGTGTTATATGTTATCGTCTATGTTTAATTGCTTGTATTGTTGTGTTTGGGCTCGGTCTCATGTAAGCCGCACCGAGTCCCTTGGGGAGATGGTAGCGGGGTACAAATAAAGTGTTATTATTATTATTATTATTATTATTATTATTATTATTATTATTATTTATTAAAACACCTGGAGACCTACAGATACAGAATCACTGCTGTAAGGGTTGGTCTTGGAAGAAGCTCCTGTTTTCTGGTTTATGGATTCATGCTGCTATAGTGGCTTGAGCATTGCACTACAGTGCTAGAGACCATGATTCAATTTCTCACTCAGCCATGGAAACTCACTGGGTGTCTTTTGGGGAGTCACATACTCTCAGCTGCAGAAGACCCAGTCAAAGGGTCACCATAAGCTGGGGGCGTCTTTAATGCACACAACAATAAAAATCCCAACAACTTCCAAGGGAATGCAAGCATAAGTGTGCAAACCATTTTCAGTATCTCAAAAGTGCAATGTTAGAAATGTCAGGACTGAAGGAAAATTCATGGGTGGGGGACAACATTCTTGTGAGCATCAAACCCCATAGCTTCCCTTTTCATTCTGCACTCCTGGCAGCTGCCACTCTTCTTGTTTTTCATGACAAACTAGATATGAACTGGTTAAAAAAAGGAATGCCTCTCAAAGTTGAAAACATGGGTATTGTGGTTAACCATTCCATTTTGAAACAATATATAATTCCATGGGAAACAAAGAGTCCAAAAAGCAGAAAGATCAACAGTCAATCAATGCAGGGCATGTAATAAGAACTGGCCTCTCAGTATATTTAGACACCAAACCTTCAGTGCCTGCTGCACATATGACAGTAATGGGAAACTAATTTCAGTGGGACCAGCAGGCAAGGAACGTGAGGGCAGAGTTTGCCTATCTTCAGCTTTTATTCCATGCTTATTTATAAATGCTATAAAAATGCGGAGGAGATAGTGGATTTAAAATAACTTTAGCAGATGACTTTTTTAAGGTGGGTTGTTGCTTTTTTTAACACTAAGGCAATGAGCTATCTCCAGCATTGCATTGCACACATGGAAGTTCATTTGCACAATGTTCCCTTCCTCCACTCTGCTTCCCGCTGGCCCCCGCAAATTGTAAAGTAGGAGCTAGATCTCCATGTGGACCACAACTCTGAGGAAGTGATGGCATTCCTGAGAAAGAGGTTTGATATGGCTGAAAACCATATTGCCTATCATTTCTTAGAGTGCAGTGGATGGAGTGGTTTGATTCTAGTCACTTCTCTGTTATGATTCATTGTGTTCTCACTAAAAGGCCAAGGCTTCCGTCCCAAACCCTTCAACAGTTCCCATGTGAGATCAAATGACATTGGTTAAGATGTTAATGAGGGAGAACACAGGATTTGCTTTTTCTTGAGCCTTCTGGGAAGGGCGAGATTCTGACCTCTCCTCTCCTCCCACTGAGTCAATTGCATGCATACTAGTTTTGCATTTTGAACTCAGTTTGCGGCAATTGATGGATTAATTGGGACCATTCCTACCAAACTGGGACAATTGGAGAGTGTGCTATCCAGTCTAGTGTACTTCCAACAGTAACCAGGTGTCTCTTGAAGCTAAACAAGTAGAGGCACAGGTCAATTCCATGTCTTTTGTGTAGACCATGTCACTACTAAGCTGAATTCCTGGCCTCTTTAGTTAAAAGGGAACAGAAACAGGATGGGAAATACCTCTCTGTAATGGAGAGCTGTCATGCTGGGTAAGAGATTTAGGGGTTGTGCTGTAAAAATGTATTGTCCAACCTCTGTATTACAATAGGGGGACAAATAAATGTTGAACAATTCCTCCAGTGCCTGATAGTTCCCTTTATGACCATTATGTCTAATGACAATGATAACAAAATTTACAAAGGACAACCATCTCTACTAGTGAATTCTATCTACAAATTTTGCATTCTGTAATCATTTCCATTTGGCTGTGGAGAAGCTATTGTAAATCACTCCTCCTAACTTGGTTTCAATGCAGGTCCAATGTCATATTGTTTCCTAGGATGAAGGGCATAAACTCCATTGCATCCACATGGAATCCAACTAGGCTGAGAGAAAGGCAGACATTTTTCAATTTAATTTGAGAGCAGCAACCACTGGCTCCTTGTATTGCTTTCTGCTCTCTTGCAACATCTGCTGTCTGAGGTGGATGGCTCACTTTGCTCCATTGCAAGGCTAGTGATGGATAAGATAGGAATGGAAAACAATAAGAATACTATGCTTTTGGATTTAACGCAGTGCCGAAGGCAAAGTAATACTACATTTTCTCCTTGGCGTGACCACAAAGAATCTCAGTTTGTCACAGTATAGCATGCTTCCAAGTAAACATGTTTCCAAGTAAACATGCACAGAGCCAAGTTTCATAAACAATAAGTCACAGTAAGGGTCAGTGGAGGAAAGCATCTCATTTTCCATTCTGTTCTGACACCATTGGGACTTTATCACACTAGCCTGTAGTCTCGTCGCAATCATATCGTATAAGCACATAGAAATATATTGCTTTGGTGATACAAATTTCCACTATCAGTTTTTTGTACAAACTCGCTTCCTGCCCATGTTTGTCCTACCCCATTGTGACATTCTCCACGTGTCCATGGATCTTCTGTGAAATTATCAATTCAGTACAGAATCCCAAATCTGGAATATAGGTAGGTTTTTCCTTCCCACATTTGCTCAATTTGCAAAATGCAAAAGCGGAACTCAAGGGGAAGCAAAAGGAAGTTGAGGGCAGGACCAATGTAAGAAGTACTATACTATTTATTATTTAACATGGGCATGAAAGATCAGATGAAACTATTTTTCCTATTTAATCTAAGCATAAGCTGTCATGGGAATTGGGGTTAAAGGCCACAGGTTCCCCAAGTTCTTTCTCAGCATATGGAGAAATAGTTTCTGAAAAAGGAGACTTCTCACTATGGAATCCAGGAGAAAGGGACATCTGATATACATACATCCCTCAAGCTTACTGTTGTATCCAGGCCCGTAGCCAGGATTTTGTTTCCGGGGGGGGGCTGAGTTTTTGGGGGGGGGCTGAGTCTGAGTGAAAGAGGGTCTACCCTAGCAAACCTTTTGTATCGTTACCCCAATACCCCCATCCATATGGGATATATTGAGTATAGGTGATCAGATCATGATATGAATAAACATAAGTTTAAATAATGCACCAGTAAGGCCTTTTCGCGAACCACCATGAGAATTTGGGGGGGCTGAAGCCCTCAAGCCCCCCCCCCCCCGGCTACATGCCTGGTTGTATCAGTTCTTTATTAATCCCCAACATTTTGCACAGGTTGGCCAAGCAACATCAAGATGGTAAACATTACTGATAAGGAGAAACATTCAAGATAGGAGAGATGGGGCAACAGCAGTTTGCTTTTGCCAGAGACAGCTGGGAAGGGCAAGATTCTACCCCATTCCTTCTCTCCTCTCTGCTGCTGGGCTAACTGAAGCAAACTAATTTTGCACTTTGAACTCAGTTGCAGAATTTGAAGTAAGCTGAGGAACAAGGGGAAAAGTGAGAGGAGGAGAGAGAAATGGGGATGCTTTTAAACAGCTGAAAAAGTAGGGTGACTGCAGTTCGAATGGGACTCTCCCTTCCAAATTTGGACAGTTTGGTGGGTGCGAATGGAGATGAAGAAATAAATTACTCAAGAGCCCAGGCATTCATAGTAGAAACAGCAGCACCATTCTGAGATCATGTAACCTAGATAAGATCAAAGTAGAGTCTTGGTTGTGAAAGTATAACTAAATTGCAACATAGGCAAAAGTGAAACTAAATTTAAATGTTAAGCATGATGGTTTAAATCTGAATTGTTTCCTAAAAATAACAGTATGATGCTTCGGGGAATAAATGAGAGTGAAGCAAGCGAAGGCTCAATTTCCATTTCTCTACAACTATTTGCAAGGGAGCCACAGCTCAAACAGAAATCCAAGAACTAAAATTAAAAAACTGGGGCATTCAAAGTCATAAGTCCTACCACATGCTTATGGTGTGGCTTGATATTCCAGCATGTCCCTCAAACCCAACATGAATAGGACACGGATAAATGGATT